CGTTGAATTCCTCGATCAAATACACGATCAGATTTGTCAGCCATCCCCAACCAGCTATCATCAACCCCGTCAGAGTTGCTGGCGAATCACAAACATGACCACAAACGTATCATTATAGCATGGTTTTACTCATGTGAACACGCGTAAGAGTGTATAGAGAGAGAGAGAGACCTGAAACAAAGAAAAAGGTAATCCAACCACCACGTTTTGTGCCGGAACTTAACATCTGTGCTTCGTTGTCACCTGAGACACAACCATTATCCATGTTGCTACCAGCTGACTGCTGCGACTCCATGGATGAAATTTTAGCCTTGGTTTGAAATTTTGAGATACTTTTGTTAGGCCGCACTGATTTTATAACCCAGAGCTGTTTTTTTACTACTATATCTTATTATATCTACCCCACATATTGTTGCTAGTCTTCCTCCTATTTGTTATCTGACATATAATTCTTCAAGTAGCAAAAAACAATAGTTTCTTAACGATCCAATAATTACCTACCTTTTTTCTTCTGTCACGTAATGTCAATTGCAAGAATGAGACAGCAATGCCTAAAATATTTGCCTGAAATAGATTAACATAGAATCTTTTGTTTGAATTGGATGTTGGTCAATTAATTAATGGCCTTTTCTCCATGAATTTAGTTGTAATGTAAGCCACCAGCCAACCAGAAGTGTGAAACTGTGAATAATGTTAGAAGAGCTAGTATTTCCTTCTAGGTGCTTAAATCAATCTGTTATTTTTAATTTATGGTAGCTGAAATGTTCGTGACTATAAGTTTGACTTGCACAGGTAATTAGAAAACAATAATGAAAGTTGCAACTTGTTTCATTTCATCATTTCAACGAAGCTGGGAACTGTCTTCCACTTTCTTCTCAAAGGTCCAATAGACGTTGTCTAGGCTTCCATTGTTTATGTCATCAAGTAACCATTTTGTTAACACTCCTGATCAGGTCAACCAGAATTTGTGCTCACATAGAAAGCGATTCCAATGATTATAGACGTCATGGCAGCTGCGCTGTGCTTTTCAGTGAGGCAGGGAATTTCCTGATAATACGATCAAACATTTCCGGGGGAAATGGATGCCTTCTCCATTGCCATCCCGAACTAGTTGCGGGAACAGCCACAAGACCAGCATAGGCACTACGGCACCCTGTTGTTCCTGTCGGTGGTGATCATGGACTATTTTGAGCCGCTTTGCCTCTCCACCAGTTCTGATTCGGACATGCTCAAATTGTTGAACACATGGCCTATTCCGATTCTTTCATGTGGGGGTCAGAGAAACCGATCCGACAGCGCAATAAAGATGGATGTGGACATTTGCACCAGGACCATGGCAGATCCATCCGGGATCTAGAAATTGGATACAAGGTGAGGGTCCATTGCTATAGTTTGGAGAACTGTCATACTCCATTGAACTGCTAGCAGGATTCTTATCAAAGTTTTTAGATCTTCGACTTGTTGCACAGTACAAAGTCGCTATGGCTTTGCGATTGATCCAGCTGAATACCTCCTTCAATTTTTCTAATCACGCAAACAGGATGGATCACTAAATTTTATTAGTGATGTCATAATTAAAATAATAATAATAATTAAAAGAATATAAACATATTTTGAGAGAGTGAAAAACATAATTAAGAAATCAAAAGATTGTGAATCTCAAAAGTAAGACTTAAATTTTTTTGAGAAGATAGGCTTTTGACTTTTTTTTGTTATACAATAAAGAAAGTTTTTCTATCTTTTCGTATACTATTTAAATATTAATATATAAATAATTTTTTGATAAATTTATTTTGACTCGAAGTTTTTGACTCCACTTTTTACAAAATTACAAAAAAATGAATTCATTAATATCAATAATTACATAAAACTCTAACACAAATAACATAACAACTAAAAATTTTGTACGTTTCAAAGAATAAATGATGTCACAAGATACCATTATATTACATGTACGTCCACCCCTCATGGTTCAAGAACCTGCATATCATATATTAAACTTTACTAAGTTACTTAAGCTCGATATCTCAAGGAGAAATAAACATTAAAAAAAATTGAAGTGAAAATATTGTGTTAAGTATAGTTTAATTTAATAGCACATCGTCCAAAGAAGTCATAGATAGCGACAATTTATGTAATGAAAGTTTGAGTAAAGACCATTGTTATGAGACTTGACAATTATTGCTAATTTAGAGATTTTAAAGTTTAGCTGTCCTAGGCTAGGTGTGTATTGCAAAAGAATAATGCAACTTGGCTTTGAAAAAAAAAATTGATGAGATCAAATCATTTTGTTAATAACCTAAAGTTATGGACTTGCAAATATATTATATAAGAAAATTTTAATACTATATATTTGGTAGAGAGAAATCAAGTGATCATGGGCCATTGTGAGCCTTTTAGACTTCACTAGGGCCTGATATGGCCAGGCTTAGCTCAATGAATCACATGACCCATAACGATTCAAATTTAAGTGTGATTGACTTAATAATTTTTTAAGTATAACTCACGTAATAATCTTAAAATATTTAAACTCAAATTATTAATAATTCACATATAATATAAAATAAAGTATCACAATCTTACCTATATAAATTTTTAATTATTATAATCTCACTAATTTAAATCTTTGATATCCTTATCAAAACATCAAAATCACACATTAAATCAAATTAGAGGGTCACTTCACAAAATTAAGATCTCACGTACTGTGAAATTTCACATACTCTTATGCCAATTATAACAATCTAGATCCAATTATTTCTAATTTAATAATTTTTTAAAGTTAAATTACGTGATTTTTAAAAATAACTTAAGTTGTTAACAGTTCACATCCGATGACCTATTAGCCACCATCCCTGGCTGGGACCCTAGTCTAATAGATACTTTCACCCTCAAAAGGAATGATCCCTGAACGATTCAAAGGCCCAGATTCTTGGCAAGGATAGATGCTTGTCATTTAGAAAGCAGAAGAGTAGCAGCCTATTTTTCATCTAAGACACTCTTTGTAGGAGCTCAGCAAGTCCCACACGGTTAGGCATCAGTAATTTTGACATGCTGTGAAAGCGACCAAGATACTGACTATGTGCTATACTGTGAAAATATGGTGAGGTGACGGCGAAGTAAGCAGGCAGCACTATCAATATCCAATAAAAGAAATAGAAGGCAGGCTTGTTCCTATTCTTGTTCTTACTTGCAACAACAGGAGGTTGTATGGCAAAGACATTCAACAGTATATCAACTTCGACTTAACATGAATTTTGACATACAAAACTCGAGTTGATCGATGATGTTATACAGAATAACGGAATTACTGATATTTGTTACAACAGGATCTTTTGCGTAGGTCACACTAGAATAAAATACAACGCACAAAAAAAATGCATTTGATACAGCCAGAAGAGATTAAACAAATAACAAATAAACACATATCAGAAGTGGAGACAACACAAAATTTACAGGGTGGCTTGTGAAGCTTGTGAAGGAATCACCTCATGAAAACTAAAATCAATGGGCAGTCATAGGTGCAAACTCAGCAAAGATACCCCAAAGAAACTGCAGATGCAAAAATAGGATGTCTCAGTTTGCATCCCACCAGCCTATTCTGGTTGCTATCTATCAGCCACCATGAACTTTTTCGCCAAACATTACTTGAACTGGGGCATTTAGAGGATAGAAGTATCTATCGATACCAAACAGGAAAAGTACATTTGATTAAGCATAATTTGGATTCAGAGCTATGGCCTCCTTGTAAATCATGTCCTTCATCTGCTCTTCTCCCAATGGTTGCTGCTCAAAGTCGAAAGAAAATGGCTCAGTGCAGACTGGTTCATCAGCTATGTCGTGTAATCTTTCAAGATAAGGATGGGCCAATGCTTCTTCAACTGTCAACACGCAAATTGAACTTTCAGTTAAGAAATACAAAGAACTGCCTTCAGCCAGTAACAAATTTGTGTCTCAACTAAATAACCACAATGCAGGGATGGTTTTCATTTCAATGATGACCAAACAGAGTTCAGTTTATTCTACAATAAAATCTTATAAAATTATAGTTCATAAATTGAATTCATGAACCCATAAAAGCATGATGGTAAATGTAGAACTCACCAGTAATTCTTCTGGTGGGATCAAATGTCAACATTCTTTCGATGAGATCAATAGCCAATGGATGAACATGTGGGAAAACATTTGTCAATGGTTGGCGAGGATGTGCAGGGAGCTGCCTGATATATCTTCTTGCGTCCTCATTTCGGAGGAACCCAAGATCAGATTCAGTTGGTGTGCCAAGCAGCTATACAGCAGAAATGGCATTGGTAAGTATTCATCCAAACAAAGAACAAGGAAAGAAAGCAACTCAAATTTAAATCCAACATCACATTAAAAATAACAAAACCATGCGTTTATCATTGCCATGTATACTAAGTTACATTAGAATTCTTAAGCTACAAGTACTTTCTCTAAACCCAAAGTTTAGAAATGAAAATGCTAACCTAATGAAAGGCATAATCAGCATGGAATCCAAATTAGAGAAATAGTTGTAACATGTATCTTGAATTACAGATTATTGCACCATTGACCAATCTTTTTCATTTGTTGCAACTGTTGTAAATTTATACCACATTATTAAGCATATTCCTCATTATAAAGTTAGCCAGCTTTAGTCATCATTTGCTTAAATCTCAATTTACCTCAGTCAATAGACGCATCTGATGCACATGATCTTTGCCAGGAAATAGAGGCTTTCTATTCATGAGCTCCATAAAAATGCAACCAACGGACCACACATCTATGGCAGCTGTGTAGTCCGAAGAGTTCAGCAACAGCTCTGGTGCCCTATACCATCTCGTGACAACATATTCAGTCATGAACTCATTGTCAGCAGCAGGTCGAGCAAGACCAAAGTCACAAATCTTAAGATCACAATTCGCATTCAGCAAGAGGTTGCTGGGTTTCAAATCTCTATGAATCACATTAGCAGAATGTATGTACTTAAGTCCTCGAAGAATCTGATATAAGAAATACTGCATACCAACAAAACAAAAATTTAAAACTAAATCAACATAGCCCAATTACTTATAAATGAGCGTTATATCTTTCGAAAATAGTAAAACTTGGACAAGACTCTTTGCTGTTCTCTCAATGCTCATTGGGAAAGTTGAGCAATTTACCTGACAATGCTCCTCAGATAAACTCTGATTGGAGCGAATGATCTGGTGAAGATCAGTATCCATGAGTTCTGTGGCAATGTAGACATCAGTAAATTCTCTACGCAAAGGCGGAGGAATCACATCTCTAATTGCAATAACCTGTTTTCCCAACACAAAATCATTACTTTAGAAATTTAGACAAAGCTCAATATTTATATCTAAGATTCAAACTTAAATTTATAAAAAGAAATAGAATTCCTACTAGGAAAAAAGGAAATTCCCTAACTTGGTCAAAATTTTAAATATTTGAACTAAGGTTTCCATTTCCTTGACCGATAATGATTGATTAACCTCAAAAAATCTTTTAAGGAGGAATAAATTTATCAAATGAAAGAAAATTTCTCCACCGTTTCATTTCCTAAAAATTATGCAATCAAAACATTACAAAATTCACAAAAAAAAAATTACAAAGAAAGAAGCTCACGTTTTCGTGATCCAAATGTCGAAGCAGCTTAATCTCACGAAGCGTACGCTTAGCGTCCATGTGATTATCAAAAGCGTTGGCGATTTTCTTTACCGCCACCATCTCATTCGTCTCCGAATTCGACACCGAGCTTCAAAATCCATAATACAAAAAAAAAAATTCAAAATCGAACGATATAAACTGAAAAAACACGAAAGAAATAGTTAACTTTTTAATCGCATACCAAACGATGCCGTAGGCTCCACGACCGATCGGCATGATCGGAGGCCGATACTTAGACGTTATCTGAAATAAATTTCCAAAAATACTATACTGAATATATTGACCACCGTGCGTATGAATCGCCGGAAAATCTCCAAAATGACCACCGGCGTTTTCCGGAGCAACGTCAGCCATTTCGCAACCTTTTACTTCTTCACTGTTCTCCTTTTGACTCCTTTTTTCCTTTCTTTTGCTTTCTCTTTGAGGAATCGAAGAGAAGTCTAAGGTCTTTTATATATAGGTAAAAAAAAAAGACGAATAAATTATTATTATTATTATTATACTTGTGGTGTTTCAGTGAGAGCTTGGGAGAGAGCTTCGTCATAGCTACGAGGAAGGTGAAAGGAAAACGCGCGAGAAAGAGACGACGCATTTAATGGAGGGCAGAGATCGCGGCCGCCTCTAATCCACGGTTGAGGTTTGATGGAATTCTGTCAACGGTCTTGTTCGCCCTCTTAACTGCCCATTTTGCCAGCTTTAAGGATTAAAAATAAAATAATTGGTTTTTTTAATTTTTTTTTTAATATGTCACATTGAATAAACCTTTTTAATTTTTTAATTACTGTAATATTCATGAGTAATATTCTTCAAAAGGTCGAAGTTAGGCCCCATTTGGATGGATAATATAAATAAATAATTGTTACATTATGGTGGCTTTTTTTTGTAATTATGTTTTAATGTACATTTTTTAAAAATCATATAATACAAAAAATAATATTCTTTTCATTTTCAATGAAAATTAAAGAAAAAGTTTTGATTTTGATGTACTTATATTAAATTTTGAAAAAAAATATAGAATATTACTTTTATGTTATTTAATATGAAAAATAAATTTATCATATAAAAACATAATGTATAAAAAAATTTCCTTTCAAGATATATAAAAAAGGGCAAGTATAATAATACTTTTAAAAAAATTTAAATAAAATTTTATTTTTGAATTACATTCAATCAAGTCTATATTTTTTTTAATCAAATAAACTCTTACATAATTAATTATTTTAATTAAAACATTACTTATGTTTTATATAATGTTGTGCGAATATAATATATTAATATATCATAATGCATGACAATAACATGACACATGACATTTTTACTTTCAATGTTAACATCACGTCAATTTCACGTGATATAATGATGTTTAATTAATTATTAGTTATAAAAATATATTAAATTATGTTTTAAAAAAAATATTTTCAAATTAAGTCATATGTCTTAATCTTTTATTTTACATTTAATTTTGAATTATTTATAAAATTTGAAAAATGAAATTTATAAAAATAAAATTTTTTTTTTTTTTTTTGCGAAAGGGAAAAGAGAAAGGTCAATTATATGACACGTAAAAGATTTCCGAATGGGCAATTAAATCCAACCATTTGTAAACGTGATAAGTCAATCGAAATTAAGGGCAACAAGAACTGAAGGAAGCCTAAGCTTCAATTATTGGAGAAATTGTCAATTCAATTTCCAAACTACACGTAAACCCAAACACCCTTTTTATTATTTCGATTACTTGCCAAAGTCCCTTCCATTTACACTTTGAAAGTTTTTCACAACGTGCATGATCATGTTGACATTTGTGGAAAAGCGTTTCCCGTCGACGCGTTTTAATGTGGGAATGCGCCAAACAGACGATAATGACGCCAAGGAAAGGTCTTTCTTTTTGTGCCAAACAGCGGAAAGCCGAAGGCTGAGGGGGGATAATATTAAAATATAGTTCCGTGGGCAATGGTTCAAAGGGATTCCCCGTGACTGAAAACCAATGTCAAAGTGCCAAAACTTCCTCTCTTTTTTTGTCAAAACCTTTGTGAGCGAGGAAAATGAAACGATAAGCTAGTTGTTTTCAAACTTTATGTCATGCTTAACTTGACAAATCCACACCCATTAAAAAAACAAAAAAAAAAAAGATTTTAAAGTATTGAACTTTTAACCTTCCATGGAAAGGATAATTTCCGATTTAATTCAATTATCGGAAAAAAACTTCACTTATATTTTTTTATAATTTTAATTTTTCATATGTAATATTTTATATTTTTTTTCAATTAGCAATTTGTATATATTTTTCCTCTATTGGTATCTTGTGAATAATTTCTATTCTTGAGAATGATTAAACTGTTAATTTTATTCAGTAAAATCATCAAAATAAAATTAACTTATTTGTTATATTAATCGGAAAAAAGAATGTCTACACAAAATGTCACTTCAGAGCCTATTGCTTGTAGAAACAGAATTTATCATAAGATGTTAATTGAAAAGGACAATATTTATACGGAGTTAATTGAGAAAAAAATGACAAATTATTATGTAAAAAATTAAAATCACAAAAGATATTAAATAGAGTCGTGCCGTGACCTAGAAAGTAACCAAGAACTATCACTGTCCGTTACTGACTATGGTGCTTAAGGTTATGACTTTCTAGTCTGTTTTTAGCATTAAAACATGATTGGAGTGTGCTGTCCTTGGCAAATTAATTAACTAATCAAAACTAAAACGAGTGTGTTGAGATTTGCGTTAAAGAAATAGTCGTGTACTTTCATGTAACACGCTGTTCAATTCACTGTTTGGTTAAAGGTTGTTACCACGAAGCTTGGTTCGACTAAACCCTTCAACCAGGTTCACGTGAACCCACCACCACCTTCTTTGGGAGAGTCCTTGTCGATTAACCCTCGCTGTCTTTGTTTCTTAGCCGGTGGCTTGGACCTATGCGGAACAATGGCTCCCACCAAAATCTGGGGATGATGGGTCATCTATCTGGCTCATGACCCTACAAGGGAAATTTGCCAATCCAGGAAATGCAGTCCTGGACTCTTTCGAGGCCCATTGAATTAACCTTTTTGATGGAAAGGATGATAGACCACGACACCACATAGCCAGCAGGCCCAGCTCTGGTTTACCTAGGGAAAAATCTACCGAGATGTCAATTATCCTTTCCATAAGAAAGGTAAATTCAATCACATCAGCCAAGGGGAATCAAATTTTGTGACATAAGGCCATACCAATTGACTGGCAGCAAGGATAGCTGTCACAATCGTACTTTTGATAAGGCAGTCACATCACAAATGCCCCCCTCGCATCGCTTAGGTGGTGGGAAGGGAGCAAACTCTAGATTCCAAACTGCCCTTTGGGTGTGGTTAACTCTGAAAAACACTACGATACATAGCTTATCTTCAGCTATGTGTTAAACAATCATTTATGAAATCATCCACCATGAAAGCAAGCTTGAGATCAAGGACAAATAACCAGAATGGGGATGTGCATTTTCACGAAATTATATTATTTATCTAGAAAAGCTTAGTACCATCTGAAATCTCCCCAAATTCCATTCAACATGTTCAACAAAATAAAACCACAAAACCACCCAAGTTCTTCAGCCAACAGCTGCCTAGTAACTACTTTTTGAGAGTTTACAAAACCCAGGTACATGTGAGGCAGCAAACGTTGTTGGCTTCATCCCGATTTGCAACCATAAGCTTATGCATCAGCAAATCTGCGCCAAAACATAGACTCTAAGTGATCTCACAAAGGGAGGAAAGAGAGTAAAATCAAGTAAAGGATAATTGAAGTTCAATAAGCTATTAGTGCAAAGATTACCCTAGCTCAGAGAGCTTCAGGTGAGCTTCATTGTAGTCGGCAAAGAAGGCATCCTCATCCTGCAAATAAGTAAAATTCATCAGAATCAGCAACATTGAACTTCTCAATTGAGGATTATCTCAAATTTCTGAATCACTGGAATGAAGGAAAGAGTTACACACGGCAGCATATTTATCAACAAGTGGACGGAAAACAGGGTCAGACACGAGAACTATGTCAGTTGGCAACTGCAAAAGGTCTTCCTTCTCTCCAGCCAAGAGCTCCCTGTAAAATATTAACCAATTAGCATCAACTTCAGGACAGATTGTCCAACACAACTCAATCGATTTGAGTTTGTAAGTATCGAAGGAATAACATAATTCATAAAAAATGAAACTCACTTGAAGTAAGAGTTGTCAAAGATGAGGGGGTTGGTAGTCCATGCTCCCTCAAATCCAGACCTCTCCTTGTGGCACCGTCCCTACATACAAGGCAAAGAAAATATACATCATTCTAAGTTGATAGGCAAACAACATTTCAAACATCACAAAAACATGGGAATTTGAAATTTTTAGAACAGACCAGGGTGTGGCCACCAGAAAGGGCAACAATGTCCTGGTCGCTAAGACCCATTTGAGTACTAAACACCTGCCTCAAGTGATCAGCTCCTGCAAGACATTTATCAAAAGATTAAATCAAAATCCATCACTCAGCCAACAAAGGCACGTCAACAAGCTTTGACAAATAGTGTATACTAACCCTTCGTAGCATCAGGAAGACGGCCCTCGGGTGGTGGGTGAGGCTTGTCCTGCATTCATAACAAGGAGCTTGCAGGTAAATACAGTATCAACAAATTTAATTTTTGAACAATTCGACACAATAAAATTCACTTTACGCTTTGTTGCTCAAATCCAATTCACAAAGAGGAACATCATCAAAAAGTTCAGCACCAAAACTAAGTCCCTCACTAGTTTTCCCAAAATTAAAAACAAATAGATACTCTAATTGCAAAACCAACATATTAGACACTGAATTTCCTTTAGCTCTAACAATATAACTTAAATTTTCATTCAAGATCCATTAACATTTACTATCACATCAACATTCAATTAATGTTAAAACTAAAAGTTGCGGAATCAGGTATTATCACTGACCTCTCTTCCGGGGTGGAACGGGATTTCAGGTCCACCAGTGATCTCGACAGCGACGACACCGGCAAGCTACGAATCATTAAAACACGAAGAAATAAATTTCTGGTCAAAATCAATCAAACCAAACATAAAATAGTCAAAGCTGAAGCGAATATATATATATATATATATATATATATATCAGATTAAAAGTAGAGTACTTGGTAGAAGTCAGCGTAAGTGAGGATAGGAAACTGCTCCTTGATCGGCTCGAGAAGCCTAACGGCAATATCGAGACCGTTGTTAGCACCATGTGCCAGCTCAGCAGGCTGCTTCATCGTTCCGAATGGACCTCCGGTCCTGGTCTTAACATCGAAAGTTCCAGCTGAGTGCCAGCTGTTCACCCCACCATCACCGTCCGATCAATCAACATCACAAAATCTCACAACCAATAATTTACATCAGACAACGGGAAAAAAGAAAAGAGTGAGCTTACGCTAAACGGAGCATAAGTGGAGCACAGTTCTTCTCGGCGATGAGACCCCTGAGCTTCCTCTTGGCCTTCTCAACGGCCTTCTTATATTCCTCGCTCACAGTCGGGTAACACTTCGTCATTTTCTCTGATTTCTACAAAATAAAAAAAAAAACCATATCCATATTAACAAAATATTTCAAATCAAACCGAACGATTTACAATAAAATCAGATCCAAACTCAGATCGGAAACCAAACCTTTCTGAAGGTGCAGTTGATGGAGAATGCAGGTAAAAATATATATATAAACCCTACAGACCACGCGATGGACACGAGCTGAGCACAAGCACTCTGCTCAGGGGGAAGATATAAGGGCAGAGTGAAGAGAGGGAAGGTTCTAGTAGACTGTTATCAGCCGTACGATTATCCAAGATCAGGTGGTTGGTGTTTGTTTGAGATATCAACGGTCATGATTTGCGTTGAATATTTATGATGTACGGCTGGGCTTGTGAGGTTAGGTGGGCTGATCGAAAAAAGGAAAAAAAAAAGTCAAGATTTTATTGGAGAAATGGAATTTTGGTTTTGATTTATTACCATAAAGATCGGAGGGCCCACCGAAAATGGAATGGTTTCTAAATTTTTTTATGGGAAAAATGAAATGGAATGGATTTTCGAAATGACGGATTTCTCCTTATCAGGGAAGAATGGAGGATCAATTTGCTGGATTGTGGTTTATGTAGGCTCTCTTCAAGATCGAGTCATTGCCTACGTGTCTTCGGATCGGACCGTTATCTTTTGAGGTTTCTTACAGTAAATGGAAAATATTTTGTGGTGGAATGTTGATCTTTTTGCTGGAGACAGTTCCCATGCAAAGTAACAAAGTATAAAATGGGTTGTCAAAATATAATAATAATTTAAAATTAAAAAATATAAAAAATATAATACTTGAGGGACTAATATGTGAAATAATTGTGATCGATATTTTTATTTGAATGGATTTTTAATTTAAACTTCATGGTTATCAAATAATATGATGAGAAATAAAAATATGATGAGATTTAAATCAAATGATAACAATGATGGTGAATATATGCTTGTAATTTATCAAAGATTTTTTGTTTTTGTTCTTTTTAAAAAGGGTTGAAATAGTTAAATTTTTTAATTAAATTTGAGATATAACTCATTCAGTTAATATAATTCTTTTAGTTACATTAATAATTACAATACATCACAATCCAAGTGTCATTTGCATAATTATAAAATATTTAAATGAAAAACAAACAATAGTATAAATTACGTAATAATTAAAGTCTAGAGACAAAAAAGGTTTAAACTTAAAAAAAAAATATAGAATGTTAATCAATGAAACTCAAGCTTGTTTCACATTTTTATAACAATATATTACTCATGTATTTGCAAAAAAAAAAATTGAGCTCAATATGGTATCAAAATCTATGTATTTATGAAAATAAAAAAACCAAGCACAATATGATATCGAAATCTTATTATGGTAAATTATCAACACAACAATTCTTTAAACAATTATTATTAATTAATTAACAAAACCACATTACATGATGAATTTCAAAATTAAATTGTATTAAAGAATTTTGATAATTAGATAAGTTTTTATTATTGTTTTGAGTAATATTTGATTTAAAATAATCGTTATTTGAATTTTAACAAACCACCACGTCAAATTTGAAATCGCAAACAAAATTATTTACTAATATAATTTTTATTTCTCAAATAAAAATGATATATTTTTTATTTGTAAAATGAAAATAATTTTTTTTTCTTTTTTGCAAATGAAAATGGTTTCAAGTACAATCCAAATAGGAAATGGAGGAGTGGAATAGCCGAATAAAAATGGCACGGAAGGTTATTTTTGTCAATTGCACTGCCTAGTGAACTTCTGGTAATTTTTATATTGTGGAAAAATATCTGTATTCACAGTGTGAACACGTCGAGGGACAGAAGATTCCATTCGAGAAGTGATAAAGATACGGAGCATCCCACAGGAACGCCCATCGCCCTTTTATTTCCCATTGGTTAAAAGGAAAAAAACTGCATGTGCATTCATCGTTGCTACGCTCTTCCGTAGACCAAAAGCTGCAATCCCATTGGTCCAAGGACTCAGTATTGCCAATACCTGTTCGCCACGTGGACTAAGGAAAATATGGGTTTATGAGGCAGGCCCCACGTTGACGCAACCCAACGCAAACGCACTTGGCGCCTCTTTTGAGCCACTTTGCACGTTGGCCTATTAAAAAAATTACTCATTGATAGAATCGAGTAAAATTATTTGATTATGTTCCATGATCAATGGAAAATATTATCATATTCTTTCTCCTAAAACAAAATTTATTTTAATACTCTTCTTTTAATACTTAATAATAATAACAATAATTATAACATGCTAAGTTAGACTCAATTGATAAAATAATTATTTATTAAATATATTTATTATTTGTTGCGTCTGCTGGAATACAAATAATAAATATTATCAATTTAAAATTTATAATACTGTCCTTTAAGTGTTATATTGAATTAAAAAAATTAACATTTTTATTGATGGATTTTTCATTCATTTTATTTGTCCATATATATTACGGATGAATTATTTCATTAACAATTATAAGCAAAGTGAAAAGAATTTGTTGTCCTAACCAGATTATTAGTCGGAAAAAGTAAAAAACAAAAGAGATTATCATTATGGGATGTGAAAAGGAATATGCCTCCAAAAGCGTCAAACCTCGTGACCATTTATTGGTCAGAAATGTGGGTCCAACGAAAAATGACTTCTAGGATTGGCTTTTATATATCTATATATATATATATAGTATAAGTTATGCTTTATACTATTATCATTATTACATTATTGATTAAGAACTTAACATTTGTTTCTTAGTTGTATGATAGTGATGATATTATCCATACGTTAAAAGAAGAATAAATAATTAAATAAATCAATAAGGACATAATCATGGTCATGATAAAAACACGTCAAGCAAGAATTTGCACAGATCTCCATCCGTTCCCATAGGTATTATTAATTGGAAGTTAGGCTTCGAACTTTACCTCTGTCGGATCAATCATACTGAAAAGAGTATTAATACTAAGTTCTTAAACAAAATAGCTAATTAACTAAATTAGTTGACTTCTTCGTCTACTTCTTTTAACTTATATTAACGTATCATTGGGTGAGTAATTTGCCAAGCAAAAACTGATTAGAAACAAACAAACAATTGAAGCAAAACAATCGAACTATCTTTTAACTAGATCTTTAGCTAAACTGTTTATGTCTTGAATTTGGGGTAAGAATCTTTCTTTATGTTTCGTTTTTGGCTTGTTTATAATCACCCGTGATCATTATATCTAGCAGTTGAAAGTAGTACTCGATGTTTCAATCCATGGAATAAATATTTCCTTGTCATAGCTAAAAAATGTCAGTATTATCCTATTTAATACCAGCAACTGTCATTCGAAAAAGAGTGAAACTGGAAACATTGAAAAGACGACAAGGAATTGGTTAGAAGCTAACGTCATACAAAAAAAACTAATACTACCACAAAGAGCCAAACAATTTGTAAATGAAATAATTCGAATATTCCACTTACCTCTTTTACAGAATGTCTCATGAGAGAGCAGAAAATTGAAAATAATATATATATTATATAATATATTTTAACCTTTTTTTTTCTCTTCACATTAATTACTTATGTAAAAAGATTAGTTATTACCTCAAAAATCAAGATTTTTCACCTGAGATCATAGATGACCAGTCGTAACCCACGAATCCGTTGTTCATTATGTAGAAAAATGGTCCAAAAACTCACCGTCACATATCCTTCGGTTCAAAGTTAAGACCTGCTACGAATACCCCGGGTGTCAAAAATTACGCACATTGACACATTGCACAACAAAGAACTTTAATCTATTTTCATGAGATTTTTTTTTCTATTTTATATATATATATATATATGACAAGAAGTAGAAGAAGAAAAAATACATTGGACTAGTGTTTTTGGTATGGCCCGAAAGCTCAAATTTGACCTGGCTGGCCCAGTTAGATCAATTCAATTCGTTGTGAAGGCCCGTTAAGCAGACAGGTATATAACGCGCAAACTTTTATTGGCCCAGCCTTAGCAACGACCCTGCAGCATTTCCTGGTGCCCTGGTCAATGTGAAGGACGAGTCAACTCAAAGGACAAATGTAGAACCGTAGCAAAAAGTTCAGTACAAATAACAGCTTCATGCACGTTCTTACGTTAGCAACACGATCTTTTATTTGTCTTTAAGGGCTGTTAGTTGCATTTGCATGGTGATCAGATTGTCAAAAAGAAACGGTGATCCAAGAAAGGGGGTCTAAACGTTTTTTTTTTTTTCCCCGCAGAGATGATGCAAGTTACCAACCTCTGGAGGAGCTGACCACAAGGTTTTCCAGTGTGGTGGGATGCTATTGCTGTTCAGTGATCAGCCACTACAGCCTACAATAGAAGAAGGTTTTGCAGTTCATTGCAGCAGTCACCCAACATGGATTCTAAGTCTGGCTGTTGAGGTCAGAACAGCTACATGACTGCACGTCTGTTGCTATGCCTCAGACATGCATTACTGTTGTTCTCTACGGTACAGAATGTCCCTGGTAGAGAAGCCATAACCTTGCTTCTGTCATCTGCATTATATATATGCATCATTAGTGACCTGTTTCCATTCATCAGTACTTCCATTAAACTGGGATTTCAAGCTTGATTAGAGACTAAGATACTTTCTCAATATATTTCAGAAGTTCAATGGGCCTCAATCACTATGTGTCAGCCATAAGCTCATTCATGAAAGACTAACTTAGCAGCAAAGTTTGTTGGACATAGGAGAGTGACATTAAAAGACATCTAAAATACAGAGGATAGCAAATGTAGCTGCAAATTGTTATTGCTTTAATTCCATATCTTACAATGTCCTGCTAAATCATAGAGCACAATAGAAAACCTGGCAATAATTTAACATCACATACTACTATTTGATATCTACTCACAGAATATAGCTGTAGATCATATGGAAGGTAGGACAAGGCTTTATAAGATCAAACCCAACTAGTGTGAGCTTAAGGTTTAACTGTGTTGAGTCTGTCTATATTTTTATGTATGTCAGTATATATTCCACATCAACCTAGGCTCTATCCTAGCAGTATTTAAAGCAGGCCTACAAGTAGAACAAACTTACTGAAACTTACTGAAAACAAAAAAATTAATAAATAAATATAGGTATAGATTCAAGACTTTTAGAGACCATATATAGCAATAAACAACTTACAACAATACACAGCATGCAGGGCTGAAGCAAATTCTTGGGTCTTGTGGCCCTTTTCATCCATGTTATTTTCCTTGCCTACATGCCACACACGTTATCAACTTGACTTTATAGTTTCTTCTATCTTATCCGTACAATGCATTCAAATTGATAACAAATAAAGAAATAAATTATAAGCAGAAGCAGGAGATTGAATATGGAGTGATTAGTTTCAAATTTAGTCGAATAGTGCACATGTAAAATTTAATAGGCATGCTGCACACATATAGGTTTAACATGCACCTCATCTAAAATCACATATTAATAATGAATTGTAGTCTTCAATTAATAATCGCTTGTCATTATAGAACCTTGAGCCCAATACTTGCAGTGAGCAATTGGTAGGCATTTAAACATTTTAAGAGGAGAGATATTTAAGCACTACTACCCTTTTTGTTGATTCCGATAACATAATAAACACAACAGAATGAAGGGTTAACAAACCAACAGGGTGAATATGTTATTACTGAATGGATAGGCGATAGAAAGATCAGTACGCAGCAATGGATCAAGGCACAAAGGTCGAGAGAGTCTTGAATTCACACACAAAATAAAGCACCTTCAATTTTAGGAAAATGTCAGATTAAATCATGTAGTCATTAGATCTCAGCTTGACAGAGTTATAGTTAAAGGAGAATTGAAAATTTTTAACATCTTTCAAGCATAAGCAAACAAAAGATCAGGATCTGCAATAGGTAAAGCAACTCCAATAAATAGTGAAAGAAAAGACCCAGGAGCAACAGGGAAGAATGACAAGTTGTCAACATATTTGATTTCAAAGGGCAGGTTACAAGTTAACAACAAATTGAAATCAAACAAGTAAAATGATCACTTATTCAGCCAGCAAGAGACAGCAATGACCATATGCGAAAATGGAAAAATGTATCATGCATTAACCCTATATATTCCATCATCAGTAAAAGTAAAAGAGCAATTTATAGATAAACATTCAGAGAGTCTATTATGTTCTGCGGACCTCAAGAATCCATCATATATAGGGTACAACACAGCAACAATCCGTAAGCATAAGAGATACAACTAGCCAGAGAGCGGAAATACAGGACATGCATGCACAAGACGTCTGGTTTATTCTTATTGATCCAAAAGCACAAAAAATGCAGTTTATTGCCAGGAAAGTGGATCGGTATTATTCATCAATATCATGAAAGTAAAGGCTATGCATGCACAAGGTGTGCGATTTCTGTTCCAGAAAAAGTTAAGTCAGTTTAAACAACTTAAACATTTAAACCATATCACAAAAGGCAAAGGCCATGCACGCACAAGACATGAAATTTTTGTTTCAGAAAAGTTCAACTAGCATTAAACAACAGAAACTCTCATGAAAGCTCAAGGTTATGAATGCATAAGACCTGTAATTTCAAGGTCAGAAAAGTTTAAATCAGCGCCGAGAACATGTGCATTCCACTACGCCATTAAAGGAAATAGATTCAACTCGTTCTAAGGCAACTAAGCCCTTTTCTTCAAGCTGGAAATCAACCTAACAGACTCAACATCGTGAATTCATAGCTCTGCCTTTGTCAAGCAAACCAAAGCATTGATAAATATGGATAACTAAGCGCAAACAGGAAACGTTCCAAACAAGTAAGCACGCACACTTAAACTAGCTATTTTTTAACACCTAAAAGATCGAATTTGCTACTTTGGATCAAATTCTCAGGTAGATGTTGAGATAGTGAAGCTATTTGTAGGTATATAAACAATATACTATGATCAAAGGGGAACATTGCAACTTGCAAGCAAACTTTAGAAAATAATTAATGCATCCTCAATATAGGTAGAAAGATCTCCATTCAGAAAGATTGATTAGCCAGATAAAACAATCTTAGTCAATTGCCAATCAAGTCAGATCGAACTTAAACCAAAGCAAAAGTAGATCGAATCCAGATAGCCTTAAAAAAAATAGCTAGATTACGATTTACTAGAACAAAAGAATTCACAATGTTACATCCATTTTTTTCCTGCATTTTTTTGGAAACCAAACGGAAACAATAAATGAAAAAAGAAAATGATTATTTAAACCAAAAGATCCAGCGTAACTGAAAATTTACTGAATAATTTAAGAAATAATGGAATTTAGTTGAGCATTGTTACTCTTTTATTGATGATTATCAACGGTTGTGGCTTTTCTTGGATCAGAAACGACGTAGCTGCAGCAAGGTGGATGGAATTTCAACTCCATTTCTGTTGCGTGATAATGACTCTGTTTGGACGGAGAGATTTGGAGGGAAAAAAGGAAAGTAAGAGGAAAGTCTCGAAGCATTTGGTTTTAATTGTTTAAAAAATGTGATAAAAAAAAAAAGGACTATTAATGTAATCTTCTTACTTTGCCCTTCGTTTTCTAGATATTAACAATTTTGCCTGTCATATCAAAATTCCTTTTTGTAAATAAAAAAAAAGAAAAAAGAAAATTTAATCTTTAATAATTCAAATTTTCATTTTTGATTAACTTTATTTTCCTTTCTTCCACCTTATTCCCAGAAAAAAAAAGAAAAATAGAAAAATATAGCAATAAGCATATAATCCTTTAAATATAATGTTCAAATTTTTCTTGATTGTCATTTTTAATCTATTTTAATGTGAAGTTATATAAGATAATTTTTTTTTGTTTCATTGATATTTATATTATTTACAAAAGATGAATAAAAAATAAAAAAAAAAGAAATATCAATTAACGGAATTCTTAACTAAGAGTCCGTTTGGTATCAAGGATGTAAAACACATTCTCTGCAATGTGATTTATTAAATTACATTACAGTGTTTATTTTGTAACAAAACACTGTAATGTAAGATTACAATGCAATTACATTGCAGTCAAGGGATGTAATGTGATTGCAGTCCAAAACCAATGCAATCACATTACATTACACCTTGCAATGTATTTAAAAACATTTTTACCCATCATCTTTTAAAAAAATTACCCACAATACCTTTCAAACCTTTCATTATCATTTTTGGGTTTTAAGTCTGTTGCTTCTTCTCCATTTGACGTTGCTCCTCCTTCTTATAGTCCTGCTTCAGGTTAAAATCTACCATTTTTCTTTTTCTTTCTCTTCTTTTATCTTCCTTTTGTATTCTTCAGATTGGGTTTTTTCTTTTAATTTGGGTTTTATTCATTGTTATATTTTTATTTTATCAGTGAAACAATTTGGCCCTTGATCAGGAAGAGATT